CACTTGTATAGTTTCTGAATTATAAAACTAACTGTATGTAGGGTCACTTGTGTGGCTCCTGAATTCTAAAAAAATAGCTGTATGTATGTTCACTTGTGTGGTTCCTGAATTCTGAAAACTAGCTGTTTGTATGTTCACTTGTATGGTTTCTGAGTTCTTGTGTATAATTTATGAATCTTCTACGTGGTTTATGACTTAAAGCAACTCTAGCTTTATGTATGTTTACTTATATGGTTTAGACTTATATAAATTATAGTTCTGTGTTGCTCACTTGTGTGATTCCTGAGTTCTGATAACTACTGATTAAAGTGTGTTCACTCGTGTGGCTTCTAACATAATAATTATATCTGTAACTATGTTCACTCGTGTGGCTTTGGACATGTATTGACTATAGCTGTTGTTCACCCATTTCGTTTTGTGACTTACAGTAACTATGAGCCTACTTGTGTTCTCTTGCGTGGTTTCTGCGTTCTGATAACTAAAATTATATGTGTGTTATCACACAAACGATTCTCTGTAAAATAATTGCATTTGTTAAAAACAAAATTCATTCACAATCACGTTAAACCTACTCCCATTCTGAGTACAATTTAAGAAAACAGAAAAGAGTTATAAATATGTTATTTTACCAATTTATGCATGAAATTAGTTAAGCATTGCTGCATCTGAAACGCACATAAGGCCGGTGCTTAACTATGGTTTCCTGTGACACAAACGGTGGAGGATGGTGACACATTTTCACTGGACTAGATGCTATTTCATCCTAGGTTAGCTCCCAGCTACTCGCTGATGCCCATTATACAGTTTAGTAGAATGAAGCAGTGGGGGTAAAATGTCTTCCTCGACGACATTTCGTAGAAAAGCCTAGAATTCCCAATCTTTGAACTATGAGCTCAAAGCACTAATCACTATGTCACGTTGTCCTAACTCATGTATAACCAATATATTCAGAGACTGAGTACGTTATATCAAAATGATACAACTTTACAACTTGCATTGTTACATCCAGTAATACTCTAACTGGAAACCTTGAATCTTGACAGCAGCCTAGTTTTCATTACAATAGGTTCTATCGCAAGGTTGTCATGTCTAACACACACCCTTCTTCTTTGCATTCTTTCCACAAGTCATCTAGTCTACGAAGCTTAAGATGATGGTTTCCGAGTGCCCATTTTAACATCCCGATCGCCCAGAAATCCATAGATGTTTTGTTCAGCGACTTGACCAATATGTCTTCGTAAGAAACAGCAATAAAACCCGTTTTATTTCTCAGCTACTTGAGGTATGCGACGGCTGAATGGGTGGTATAACTGGAAGCCTTATTTTGGTGAATTCATACCATGTTAGTCTCGTTTCCAAACATAGATCTTTCTTGATTATGTTGCTTCTGTCGCCTAACTTGTAACGGCTTTTTCCATTGACCTTTATGATCGCGGATTTTCACCTGTTACTAAGCCTGGGGTACAACATGTTGCAGATCTCTTTGTAAATTATCCTGATGTTATTAATTAAAATGGATATCATTATCTTATAAATTATAAATCCCCGATCTAAACACATTCTTATGATAAGTGTATCAAAGTTCGATGGAATCGCACTACCTTGGTGAAGCCAAGAATTTATCAAAATATAGTTCTGATACATTCTGTTCCACCATGACTTTACATCGGCTGTGGTTGTCATATGACTTGTTTATTTGCATATTCACAATCGTCTTGATACAATGTATTCAACCCTTTTTATATATAAACTTTGCAAGCCTAAAATAAAGCGTATCATTTAAAGGTAAGGCAAAGTGCCACACTTGAAATGTATGTAGTTATGTCTCTCAAACTAAACATAGGCCCTGCTAAACCCTACAAACATATTAATATAACTGGAAATTCCTGCCTGATTTAGTCTTTACTAAGCAATGAAGTTAAGAACCGATACGTCTTTCGGCATTGGAAATGTGGTAGCTTATTTTATTTACTAAAGCTTCCATTTAATTATAATCATTAGAGTTGTGGAGTTTTCGAGTACCGACTAGTCTTAGTTTTCACTTCTATCATAAAATATTCCAATGTCTTGGTACTGAGTGTCGCACATAAAATTTTCAGCGAATAATCGTTTCAATTCAGAACTTTCCAGAACATGAAAGTTAATTGATTAAAATACATTATGGGCATAACACCATCCATGTGATATAAATGTGATAACACTTAACTTGTTTAAATCGCATCCGATAGCTTGTTTTAGCGCAAAGCTCAACAGTGGGCTATCTGTGCTCTGTCCACCGCGGGAAATCGAACCCCAGAGTTTAGCGTTGTTAGTCCATAAACTTATCGCTGAACCACCAAGGGACCATCAAATAGTCATCCTTTTAAAATACTTGACTATAAGTGCATATTTTATAAGATCCTCCAACAAACAAACGCTTTCTTCCTATATGATTGTGTAGATGTGTATGTTACTATTATTTTTAAATTTTGAGGGGCGGTTTCACTTCTATAGTGGCAATAATTAATAAGATATTTATATTTTGTATTTATGGCAAAGTTACTAAGGCTTTCCGCTGCCATCCTTAATTTTGAACTGGTGATCAAAGAGAAGACAACCAGTGAGCAGCACTCTAGCACTCACTCTCACAATAAAAGATTGATGGTAACTGTTATAACGTAACCAAAGCTTAAAGTGGGATGGATATTTTGAGATATCGCACAGATTCCAACACATCAGCTCCGAAATCCAAAATTTATGGCAAAGCTACTAAGGCTATCTGTCGTTGCCTCTAATTTTTAACTACTAAACAGAAGGAAGGTAGCCAGTCAGCAGCACCTTACCACCCACACTAAGGGATCGACTGTCATTGTTACAACGCATACACACAGCTTAAAAACAGGGTGAATATTTCGTGAAATCGCACGGATTCGAATCTGGCTCGCTAGCTCAGATATCCGAAACTCTACCCTAATTACAGTGAAGAAGCCAATGTAATAATATGTCATGTTAATTTTTATTTCCAAAGTAATATTTTCATTGGATACTGCATTCTTCTTAAAGTTGTGCTGAAAACAGATTCGAAAAATAACTGACAGTCAGTTAATTTTTTTGTTTGTTTGTTTGTTTAAGCGCTAAACTGTACAACTGTTGTTAGTCTCAAACTATATTTATATGTGCAATATATAACCAAAACACAGATACAATTCCACCTATGGATACGTATAACAAAAAACAGTGTTTTGTTATATGCATTATATATATATATATAGTTTACAGCCTTGTTTTTCAGACTTTCACTTTGTGACAATCGGTAAAAAGTTGTGAAATTAAAGTGAGATGTTGGAAACTCTGTAATGATATAAAATTCGTTTGTTTCCTTCAAATTTTAACGGTCCCTTTATGTATTTTTCTCACTGGTCTACTATATTGGAAGTCTCCATTTTTTGGTTTTGTTTTGACTTAGCCCGTTATCGCTGATGAGGGATATCAGTGCTCAAAGAATCTGGCGTAACCAAGAGAAATGGACAATTGGTGAATCCTTCTGTGGGTTCGGTGACACTAGTTCCCATGACGAATACAGTGAGAAATATCAAGCAAGTCGTACTACAAACCTCTTAACATTTAAACTATTACATAACACACAGGAAACAAAATCATACAACTACAATCTAAGTTAACATTTAAACTATTACATAACACATAGGAAATAAAATCATACAACTACAATCTAAGTTAACATTTAAACTATTACATAAAACATAGGAAACAAAATCATACAACTGCAATCTAAGTTAACACTTAAACTATTACATAAAACATAGGAAGCAAAATCATACAACTACAATCTAATTTTCTTATGTTTTATGTAATAGTTTAAATGTTAATTTAGATTGTAGTTGTATGATTTAGTTTTTTATGTTTTATGTAATAGTTTAAATGTTAAATTGTGCATGAACAGCTTGTTTGCAGGTGTCACTTGACTATAGTAGTTTCATATGATGTGCGTGGAAACAGTTCATGTGTTAATGACAAAGAGATTGCAGGTGGGATAACTTTGAACGTTGAATTAACTTAGACTGCAGTTGTATGATTTTGTATCCTATGTTTTATGTAATAGTTTAAATTTTAACTTAGATTGTAGTTGTATGATTTTGTTTCTTATGTTTTATGTAATAGTTTAAATGTTAACTTAGATTGTAGTTGTATGATTTTGCTTTTTTATGTTTTATGTAATAGTTTAAATGTTAACTTAGATTGTAATTGTATGATTTTGCTTTTTCTAATCTTAGTCTTTAAATTTATTTTTACATACAAAAAAGCAGAATACAAACACAGTTTGATTATCTTAGAAATCTCAAAGTCAGTACTACTTTATGCAAATTACGTCGTTATCAATTTTTACTAGTTAGCTACTGTGTATAACGAGACTAATTAATTCTACATTATTCGTATAAATATATATATATATATATGTACTTTTTACGTGCATATGTAGAGATTAGTGTGAATGTGCCTGTGTGTTTCACTGTTGGTATGTATTAGATTGTTTGAGTTCAATAAAGACTAACAATTATTCTAAACAGTTTTGTAATACAATTTGTTTTTAAACGAAAATGGCCAAATGTTTCCCTTAAACACAATATTGTAAAAATATTTGTACTTCTGGAAATTACTGAATTAACCTTGAACAAAAACGATTCTTGTATTGAATTACTCTTGTACATTGTGCATGTTTTATGTAGCAACTTGTATTATATTGCTCTTGTATATTGTGCATGTTTTATGTAGCAACTTGTATTAGATTACACTTGTACATTGTGCATGTTTTATGTAGCAACTTGTATTATATTACTCTTGTACATTGTGCATGTTTTATGTAGCAACTTGTATTATATTACACTTGTACATTGTGCATGTTTTATGTAGCAACTTGTATTATATTACTCTTGTACATTGTGCATGTTTTATGTAGCAACTTGTATTATATTACTCTTGTATATTGTGCATGTTTTATGCAGCAACATAGATTTACATTACACTCATTTGCCGTTTCTATTACTCCTCAACCAGTTGCATATGTAGAAGAAAAGCCTGCCATCAAGTTGAGCCGGTTTCAGTATCTCATCCATGACATCGTTGCCGCTTTGGAAGAGGTCTGCTCGATTCGAAAAATAAACTTGACCTTTATTAAAGTTCCAAGGACACTGGACGAAACGCAGCTTCCAAATGATAAAAGTTGGTTTGTTTCTGACACAATCATTTAACTATTCTCAAAACCTTGACAATAAACACAGTTATTAATTTTCAACTGTCCTTCACATCACACTCTGTACTAAGAAGAAGAAAACCCTGTTTTACATTACGAGATTTACAAGTAAAAGATAACATTTACTAAAACTGAAATGATATTAATGGATGTTATTTATTGATTATGACTAGATGACACTAATATCTTTTGATTAGGACAGTAGTTTGGAGTAAGATAATAAAGCATGCTCTTTCTTCATTAGGATACGATGATAATGCATGCTCTTTCTTGATTGGGATGAAATGATAACGCATGCTCTTTCTTGATTGGGATAAAATGATAATACATACTCTTTCTTGATTAGAATAAGATGATAATGCACACTCTCTCTTGATTAGGATAAGATAATAATGCATGATCTTTCTTGATTAGGATAAGATAATAATGCATGCTCTTTCTTGATTAAGATAATATGATAATGCACGCTCTTTCTTGATTAGGATAAGATGATAATGCATGCTCTTTCTTGATTAGGATAAGATAATAATGTATGATCTTTCTTGATTAGGATAAGATAATAATGCATGATCTTTCTTGATTAGGATAGATGATAATGCATGCTCTTTCTTGATTAGGATAAGATAATAATGCATGATCTTTCTTGATTAGGATAAGATGATAATGCATGCTCTTTCTTGATTAGGATATGATGATAATACATGCTCTTTCTTGACTAGGATAAGGAGTATAAAATGATACTTGTCTATCTTGCTTAGGACTATTGTGTGGTATAATATTTTATTTATTTATTTGATCAGAAAAGAGATTCGCATAAAACAACACTTCTTTAATCCAGTCACTGCAGTTGTTTAGGGTAATATGGTACCGTTATCTCTTGATGAGGAGCGTAGTGTAGAAATACCGTTATCTCTTGATGAGGAGCGTAGTGTAGAAATCATCTTTATTCTATACTACGCTCCTCATCAAGAGATAACGGTATTTCTACACTACGCTCCTCATCAAGAGATAACGGTAATCGCTCTATTCTTGTCAGTACCTTTGTTTGGTGTAAGGTTATACTGATTCACCTTGGTTACTACTCTGTTCTGATCAGTACTGTTGATTGATATAAGGTGCTACTGCTTTCTATCGATCAGTATGATAGTTTAAGTACATTTATTCCAGTAAACGAACATTCTCCTTTTTTTTATAGTTATTAGAATTATATTACGTTAAATATTTGAATTAATTATTTAAATGAACCTGTCACAGGTGAAATTTGTTCTCGCTCCCAAAAAATCTTGATAAAATAGTTAAACGTTCGACTCTTTTTTTTTTCCCCCCTGCTGTCCTTGGAACACAGTTTATAAATTCCGTGTATAAGAATGTTTGGGTCGATTGGTATACAGTAGCCGTAACCACGTTAAACGCTATTTCGATTTTGCGTGACACCATTTTCATTATTAACAATAGTAACGGAAGGGTGTGTTCATTTAACGCACGAGAGGACCATGAACTCTCTGACTACGATATAAGATGTGATCAATGTCATCTTTCTAGATGAATGTTCAACGTGGAAGTCTGGTCAGAAATGGAATGTTTTTCACTGTGTGTTTGTGCGTATGGATATAGAAATGAAATTAATAGTTTCTAACAATGAGAAACATCAACCACGCCATTGCATGCTGTCTTTGACAAAAACGCAATAAATACCATTAGTTACAAGACCTATTTCTAAAGCAATCACGTAGAACTTTTTCTGTTACAGGGTGGGCTAAAAAGAGTTATATATAAAACTCATATGGTGAATTAAGATCTCGATTAACTCACCAAAATTGTACGTTATTGTTGCTCACCAATATTTATTAAATGGAGGAATAATTGTTTGTTTGTTATTAAGCACAAAGCTACACAAAGGGCTATCTGTGCTCTGCCCACTACGGGTATCGAAACCCAGTTTCTAGAACTGTAAGTCCGCAGACATATCACTGTGCCACTGGGGGTTGCAGGAATAAACAGCATTGCAAAGTGATTACACTTACCCGGATGAAACATACTGAAGGTTTAATCAATGTTTTAAAATGCCTTCATACGTATGTATGAAATATCGTATTGCGTCAACCAAAGTTTTATAGTGCTTATTTCCGTAATGTACTATATTTTCTGGCCTTAGTCAAACCTTCAGCTTTCAGTGTAGGAAAACAACGGAAATTGGAAGGTTACAGTAAATGTAACCTGATCAGAAACTAGATCGATGTTTAATATGAAACTTTATACACCATAACACTATAATTGGTTCATCAATAATCCGTTAGGGTAAGGAAGCCGTTAAATTAAACATGTAATGGTCTAGAACTCTAGAAAATTTGCCGGAACGTTAGTATGTGCTTCGTGGCAGGTTCTGGTAAAGTTAATTTTACTGATGAAAGCGTAAATTTAAGTTTTAGTAAATATTTTACTGGTATTCACATGGGCTACTTTTTAATCACTTAATAAATTTAATGTTTTCAAGGTACACTACATTCCATTAAAGTTTTTTGTAAATTTTATAATCATAATAATGAAGAATCAAATTCAAACCTACCCTCTAGTTAGTTGATTCTCGAGACAAAGCCTAATCTATTAGTTTTAGTATGTAATAAACATCATGGCATAATAATGGTTGGAGACGGCTTGAATGGGTAAAGAATCTTCATTACCCATTCAAGCCGTCTCCAACCATTATTAGTCTCAAAGTGGGTTCCTCGTCATCGAATCATGGCATAATACATTAAAGGCAGGTGCGAAGCAAGATCAAAGTGTTAATTTATTTAGCAGGGTCGTCCTGGATCAAAATTAAACCGTCAGCAGTTAGAAGCTCTGCTAAGCCTCCCGTTGAATTACTAAACGAGTTGATGATTTAAGACCAATATTCAACATTCATTTTTTAATTTTTCATTGTCGTATAATAAGATAATGATAGAGCTTCGAATTTTTACTCACCGACAACTTTTATATAATTTTTTCTACTTTTGCTGTATCAGAATATTGATTGTTCAATGTTATATGATTTTCAAATTAAATTTCAAATGCAGTATTGATATATATATATATATTATATATATTGTGAAAATGTTTTTAGAATTACTTTTTTTACACGCCAAAAAAAAAGAGATTATACAGGAGTCTGAGTTGGAGAATACACATTCTCGGCAAAAGATGAGAAACTGGAGTATAATAGAGGAACACCTGTCTTAAAGATTCCCCCCAGTAACTCAGTGGTAAGTCTGCAAGCATAGCACAAATAGCCCATTGTGTAGCTCCGCGTCAACAACCAAACCAAAACTCAAAGATATTCTGGAAAGAATATTCACTCTTCTTTTTTTTTTTTAATAACAACTTGATGATAACAACAATAATATTTGCACATCGTTAGTACCAGAGTTAAACTAAATAAAAATATACTTAATCTTTTTAATATTAATGTGATTTCCAACAGGGACTTTAAAAATTGACGCCATATTTTCCGTTACCTACTGTTCGTCAGAAAAGAAAATTCGAAACTACGCAACTAAAAGCGTACTTCCGGTTTTTGTTGCACAGTTTCAAAAGTGTGGATTTCGAAGTCTTCGGACGGTTGTGGTCAGAGCTTATCAAATGGAGGTAAGGTAACGTTGTTTGTAATAATAAGCGGCAGCTGGGGTAGTAATTTATCTCTTAAAACCTACTTGAATGTCATAAATGCACAGATTTCTTCTTTAACTGAAAAGTAGCAAATGGTCTGTTATAGTAAAGCATATTTTTGTAATATAATGTTATGCCGCCTAAAACTGATCGTATTTGGGAAGGGTATGTAACAGTCCTTTCACAAGCAAGATATTCATACACTCATTTCATAAAGGTGTGTTTAATTCGGGCATTTAGAATTTCCGATACAGGAATATATGTTGTACTTAATGAAGTTGAAAAATAATAGAATATGAGTCAACTTGAGATTCCAAGACCATCCAGAAAGAGACCTGCAATAAGTCGTATCTCAACCGTGGTAAACAAAGTGCGGTGTTTTGGAGCATGTGAAAATCCACGAACACAAAGATCAACGATAAAAGCCGTTCACGTGCCCAGGATAACAGTATTAAACATAATCAAGAAGGATCTTCAAAAGCAACATAATTACGTGTACACAAGGTGCTTCTTCGACACACCTGTTCAACTGTTGCATGCCTCAAGAAGTTGAAGAATGAAATGTTTATTCATTAATTTTATTCCATGCTGGTTAAGTCCTCAGACACAGATTTTTGTGTAATAAAGCCGTTAAAACTGGTACTGGGAAGCCGCCATTCTCATACACTAGATGGATTGTAGAAAATCAGCAGGGAAGGGGTGTGCGCTTTGGATAAGACAACCTCACGACGGAACCTTTTGCAATGGAAATTACACTGCAGAGTTATTGTCAAGACGCACGGTCGTCAGACAGAGCATGCCCAGACGTGGTGACATGGACTGTAACGACGTGGTGAAGCTCTGAAATATAGTCTATGCAACTCTCTGGATAAATAAGAATTAAGGTTTAGAAGAGATAAAGAAGAAGGCCAAAATACTAGCACTTAGATTGATAACTATAATATGCTGATTAATTATATAATTATCTAAAGAATCAAGTAGCTTCGCTGTTTTTTATATGAAAAACGCTGTTTCATGATGAAATGTTATAGCAAGAATAATTTATCACAAAATCATTTCGATAATGATACTTTACATATATTACCAATTTCTAAAAGCATTTTTCCTGACAGTGACGCTGTTTGTAATGGAACTAAAAAATATAATTTCGTTTATAAAGTATAATGAAAGAATTAGCGCAAAGAATCACTAAAACAAAAAATTATCAAGTGGATTTCTAAGGACTCAGAAACTGGAGTACTTTCGAATAATTGACCGTTTTTATGCAGAAGTAAAAAACTCGCAAAGAAGAACTATTCGAAAGCTTTAGAGCTTCTGGATCTTTTGAAATGTTAAACTCACGTATCTGTGTATATTTAAAAAAAATAATAATTAATTAATCTTGCTTACATACGTATGTATGTGTGTACATGTTTCTGTGTAATATGTACGATGTAAATAATCAATAATTCTTTATCATTAGCCCCAGCAGTGGTTTCCATGCTTTCTTGATGGCTTGTTAGCGTGGGTTAATCACCTGCATAGCCAAGCACAAAATCAAACAAAAGTTAAAAAGGTAACAATTAAGTTCCTGTTTTCTATTGGTGTTGTTGCTTTAATGTAAAAAAAAATAAACTTTGCAAAATGAAAAAATAAATGGAATGTGTTAAGTGAAAATAATGATTATTTGTATAAACGTGCGATAAGCTTCAGTAGATTGTTACACCGAACATATATTTATAGTAAATAATTTATTACATGAAAATGTATCAAATATTTGAAGTAACAGAATCATCTACTTCAAATACACTGAAATAAATAATAAAAGTAGAGCATACATGCAATACCTATCAACATGTAAACAATAAACACAAGTAACAGACACAACGCCCCCAGATGGCTTAGCGGTAAGTCTGAGAGCTTATAACGCTAAAATCGGGTTTCGATACCCGTAGGGAGCAGAGCATAGATAGCCCATTATGTAGCTTTGTGTCCAACAACAAATAAAGATACAAAAAATAGAATTTAGCAATAATTATACATATTAATGTTCAATGTTAATAAAGATCAGAAATTCTAATCAACAATTATAAATTATAACATAAATAATAGCAATAAATAATATTAAGCAAAAAAGAATAAATAAAGTAAAAATTATAACATAACCATAAACAGTGATGTATAGATAAAATACGCATTAATTAAAGAAATAAATACAAACAATAACATATAAATCATAAAAATTAGTAAACAACATAAACGACAAACGTATACAGTAAATCTAAACAATACCTATAAACCATAAACATACAGAAATGAACAATATAAGTACCAACAATAAAAGTACACAGTGAATTTATACCATACTGGAAATCACAAACATAAGTAAACAATATGTAAGCAACAAAATTCAATAATAAATCTAAATGAAAAAGACGTTTCATTAATATAAGTAAACAATATAAACAACAAAAGTACACAATACACTTGAAATCACAAACATAAGTAAATAATACGTAAGCAACAAAAGTCAATGCCAAAGCTAAGTAAAAAAAGACGTTTCTTAAACATAAGTAAACAACAAAATTACACAATAAACCCGAAATCACAAACATAAGTAAACAATTTCGATGACGAGGAACCCACTTTGAGACTAATAATGGCTGGAGACGGCTTAAATGGGTAATGAAGAAAAACTTATATTAAAGTTT